AGACATAGAGACAGCAAGAAATCACCCCCCCCCAGGGGGGATGGTCACGCTGCAATCCCTTCTCCTCCATTCGCCTCTCGGGATCTTGGACATGCACGCACACGTGCCCGGCGTGAGTTCTAAGCCACCGGGTCTGGGATGCGAACCGCGGTCAACTACGTGGGAGTCCAGCGACATAGCCATTACGCTAACTGCTGGTTCCCAGCCACTCTTGACTACATGGGAAACCAGTGACATAACCATTGTAACCATTACACTATCTTCTGCTGGTCCCACCAGGCTTTTTCTGAAGCCCCCAGAAGCCAAATCCAGCCAATAATTCTTTTTCAGAGTGCATTTAACTGATATAAATTATTTGATCAATTTTGAGACCTAGAGTGAAGATAGGAATTACCTGATATTCTGAATATGCCTTTCTCAAGTACTGTGAAGTGGCTTTTGGGTTTGGTTGTTTTTTTTGTTTATTTGTTTTCAGGGTTTTTTTTTTTTTTTGCATTTCAGTTTATTAACTATAGTGATCTTCATGGTAACAGAGATGAACACACAAATACATTCATGTATATACAATCAGCTTACATGTTAATGAAGTGTTTATTACATTTTAGGATACGCCATATGCACACACATACCCTCTAGCAAAAATAAAACAAGAAATAAATATGCCTTAATGTAGATGGAGATGGATCTCTTGGACTGACTTATTCTTTGAGACATTTCTCTAAAAGTCTAAATGTTAAAATTTTACAAGTATCTACCATTGTGGCATAGGTGCATTAGCCAGTGATTTGGATTTGTAGCTCAGGTTTTTGTTTTTACTTATTGTTTTTATTTTTTTAAGTGAGACTGTTATTGGACATTTAAAATTATTGTTGAATTCCCAGTTATCTTACAAAGAAAAGTATTAGAGAATGAAGGTGGAAAGAGTTTCAACTAGCAAAATACAAAATCTGAATTGTGGGAATACACAAAAGTTCTAATAATTTATGACATAAATCACTCAAGCCCATTGTGATTTTCAAGCCACTGGATCCAGGACTTAAACTACAGCCATGTGGAAGTCCAGCGCCTTGACCACCATGCCACCTCCTGGCCCCATGAAGTTATTTTTAGGTTTTTATTTTATTTTATTTTATTTTACATTCAATCGCTGTTACCAAATGAATTTTCTCATCATGAATACACTGTAGTGGTCCAGTCAAAGATACTACCATACACATTATCAACAGATAATTTTCCATTTTTGTGTCCCTTAAATGTCTTGCTGCTTCCTTTTCCCCATTGATTCTCTCTCACTCTCCTCCATTTCCCACCCTCCTCTCACACTGTCTCTAGTATCCACAGTTGCTCTCGATGCCTTTATACCATTCCAATCTTTCAGTTTCTGCCATGGAGTGCAAGCATTCAGTATATATTACATGGAGACATATAATGCCTCTCTTTCACAGTCTGGCTTGCTTCACATAGCAGTAAGTTTTCCATATTTGTCCACTCTCTATCAAATGCCAGCATCTCATTGTTTTTTTTTCTGGCTGAGTAGTAGTCTGTAGTGTATACGTGCCACAATTTTTCAATCTATTCATCTGTAAACATTTGGGTTGGTTCCATATCTTAGCAATTGTAAATAATGCCACAGTAAACATGGATGTGCAAGTGTTTTTCCGACTTGAGTGTATTCTTGTCCTTTGTGTAGATACCCAGGAGTGGAATTTTAAATTAAGATAATCTAGTGGAATTTTAAAATAAGATAATCTTATTTGTAGGTCTTTGAGGAACCTTTCTTATCTCCCCAGTGCTATACTAATTTACATTCCCACCAACAGTGTAGGAGCCTTCTCTTTTCTTCACAGCCTTGCCAGCACTTACCTTTTTATTATTATTTTTTTTAATCTTAGCCATTCTGACTATGGTTAGGTGGTATCTTATTGTGATTTTGATTTGCATTTCCCTTGTGATAAGGGATATTGAACATTTTTTCATATGATTTTTGGCTGTTCATATGATCTTCTTTAGGAAGTCGTCTGTTCAGCTTATTTGTCCATCTTTTAATTGGGTTCATTATTTGCTGGGGTGGGGAGGGGTAAGCTGCTTGAGTTCCATGTATATTCTGGTTATCAATCTTTTATCTGAGGCATAGTTTGCAAATATATTCTCCCATTTTGAGGATTGTTGTAGTGAAGTTTGTTTTTATAAAGGAAATTGTCTCCATGTAATATAAAGAAATGTTTTTAATTAGTTTGAACAAAGCCTCGTCTTGGAGAATAGGAGAAGGCTTATAAACATCTTCTAAATATTTGTCAACATTCTTACAGATTTCCATTTCCTTATTGAGTGTCTTTCATATATGAACTATGGGCCCTTTTTAGACAGTTACTTTAAGTAATTTAAAATCAGTTTGTTCAAATAATTTTTGCCTCTTACCACACCTCATTTACAGGACAAGCTTTATATCTTTCTAAGTAAAGTATTTCCCTGATGTAATAAAAAATATTAAGTTATTTCTTTCTAAAATCACAAATTGATTCCGCACATAGCCTAAATTCTGAGACACCAGTTATCACAGGAATGAATGCTTGAGAAAAGTTACCTCATAATGTAAAGTTGACTTTATGGTGTTCAGAGTCCTACAGGTTTGTTGTACTTTTTTTTTTTTTTTTTTTTGAAACCAAGACAATACTGATGTTTGGTACATCAGATGTGCTATAGACAGAATGCATAAACAAGTTGGCTCATGTTCATATTTTGGTTATCTGTAGAACTTAAAGGCTGGGATATTAAGATGCATTGGCCATCCCAGGCTAGATAAACAAAGCTAGGACAGCGGCAGCAGCACAAAGGTGCTCCTTCACTGATAGCATTCTGTTTGTTTGCACCACTTCTTAATGTATCTGCTGTAATAATAATAATATTAGACAAGTCTAGCTCTAAGAATGAAAGGTTTGATTTGGTGATTCCTAAGTTCATCATAGGAAATAGACTTAAATAATAATGATAGACCTGCAACATCTTAATGTAAACCTTTCTATACCCAACTTTCTGACTAAAGTTTGAAAATATGATTATCATGACTTCTTTTTTTTTTCTTTTTTCATAGAGTGTTTCTATACCACCTTTTAAATAAACAAGATAAGCTTTGGTTTTTAGGTGATTCTTTTTGTTTTAAGTTTATTATTGATTGGTTAAGAGAGAAAAAGAGAAACTCTCCCAACAGGGTCCTCACAACACAATCCACCCCGGCCTTAGCTGGATCACAGGTGTGCATGTGCACCTGGGGTGCACAAGGAGTCATGGGATGTAAACCTGGGACCCTCCCAGAGCACTATGTTGCCTCTGTGCCACTATCTGGCCCCTAGACGATTCTTGAGAAATGATAGGTTAATAAAAATGTATTTAGCACTTCAATGTTTTTGACACCACCTTTTACTGGGAGTGAATTATCATATTGAGTTAGTAGTAGTGTTTGACTACTGGTTTAGTGTATTGACACTCATTATAACATCTATATAAGTTGGTTCAGTCAATTAGCAAGTGT